CTAAACCCCTAAACCCCGAAACCTTAAACCCTAGCCTAAACGCCAAAACCCATAAACCCATAAAGCCTCAACCCTCAACTTGAGACCCTCAACCCCTAAACCCAGCCCAAACCCATAAACCCTCAACCCTCAGCCCCTAAACCGTAAACCTTAAACCCTAAACCCTAGTCTAAACGCCCAAACCCAGAAACCCTCAACCCCTAAACCCTAAACCCTAGCCTAAACCCATAAACCCTCAACCCTAGACCCCAAACCCTAGCCTAAACCCTAAACGCCTGAAACCCTAAACCCTAAACCCATAAACCCTCAACCCCGAAACCCTAAACCCTAAACCCTAGCCTAAACCCAAAACCTGAAACTCCTAAACCCTAAACCCTAAGCCCTAAACACCTGAAGCCCTAAACCCTAAACCCCCTGAGTTGGAAGGCTATGCGGCCGCAGATGTGCACGGTGACCTTCAGCGGGGCCACGAACTTGAATTTCGTCGCGGGCATCATGGACTACGGCCCTGCGCCTTGGCGGGGCTTAGCGGTTTGCGGTTTGGGCTTTGGGGTTTAGGGTTTCGGGGTAAGGGTTTAGGGTTTAGAGTTTCGGGGTTAGGGTTTAGGGTTTAGGGTTTAGAGTTTCGGGTTTAGGGTTTAGGCTTTAGGGTTTAGGGTTTGGGGTTTGGGCTTTAGGGTTTAGGGTTTAGGGTGAGTTCTGGGGGATTTAGTTTGTTTCTTTTTTTTTCGGGGCGGGAAGGGGAAGGGGGGATGGGCGGGGGCTGCGGCCGGGGAAACGGCTTGAGGGGGTTTACCACTATGGTTTTTTTTCGGTGTAAGATTTAGTGCTCGTGGTAAACTATTTTAATAGAAATTCGTGGACCATGAATGTGTTCCCAAGTAGGCCTCTGAGTCCTTAACTTCCACACCTGTAAATACCGCTCATAAACTCAAAGGACACGGAGTACTGACATAATCGAAAGTATGGTTTCTTCATTAAGAGTTGATGTTATGCTTTATGCACGTATGTCGCATACAGATACTCAGGGCCCTTTGGTGCGTGAAGAAGATCAGAAATCCAGACCCTTTGAAGGATCCACAAGACACCACCAACACGGCATCCGTCTCTGACATGGGGGTGGTGTGAGGTGTCCACCATTTTGATCCTCAAAAAGTGTCTGGTAAACCGAAATCCATAAGCCCGAAACCCAAAGTGTTATCATCCTACAACCCTAAATCCCCACGGCAACACCCCTAAACCTGAAACCTTAACCTCCTGAATCCCTATACCCACCTGAACCCACTAACCCCTGAACCCTAAACCCCTCAACCTTAAGCCCCCAAACCCAAACCCCTAAGTCCCTAAACCGTTCACCCCGAAATCGCACTTCCAGGATGACACGAGCAGAAGATGCTTCAGCCACATGCGGTGCTTCAGATCAAACCGAACTCCAGCGAGGAGGGGCTCGGGACGGCTTGCCCCTACCTTAAGAACCCAAAACCCACTTTTTTGTAGGTTCTTCTTATAAACCCTAATATGGGATTTATAGGGACCCTACAAAAAAGTAGGTTTTGGGTTCTTAAGGTAAACCCTAAACCCTTAAACCCTAAATGCGCCACCCTGGTTTAGGGTTTTAGCTAGATTAGAGGGGGTCTCAGCCAGTTGGGGTACAGGGTTTAGGGTTTAGGGTTTAGGGTTGAGGGGGGCTGCACGTCCACATCTTTTGCTGAAGCTCCTAGGTGATTGGACATGCTATGTGGATAAAGGAATATTCTATGTTCATTCGCTTCAACAGTAAAAAGTTACGACTACCACAAGACACGCACCGCCACGGCGTACGATTATGTTAGATGTATAAGAGGCTCGCATCAAATATCCCTTCTTTGATTTCAAGCAGGCCTCTAACCTTTGTTCAGGGTTTTGGGTGTTTGAGGTTTAGCGCTAATTACTCTTGTTTCTTAGGGTTTGCGTGGTATCTGCTGGGCCCGCCTTTTTTGAATGGGCTTTGCCTTTTAGGTTACCCCCTTATAATGCCTAGATACTTATATGCTCTGAAGACCCGTTTCGAATCCCAGCATAGTACCCCTCAATAAAAGCTGTTTTGGCCATTACCTCAGAAAGCCCTTTTTATTAATACACCTATACAAAAGCCTTCCAGACTCCACAACACAGCCCTACGGCCTCATAAATTTCCGAACAACTGCCCCCAACACCGCAGTTATCCCAAGCCAGGAGGCCATGGGAAGCGAAAAGGGAGTGGAAGTGCAAGGGAAGTTTTCGCAAAGATTAAAGTAGAAGCCAGAAAGTTGGAACATCATTATCTACATGCCCCTTGAGGTAAGGTAGAAGGGATTCTAGCAATAATCCTAAACCCATGTTCCAACTTTTTGGGGTTCACTATAACCCTAAACCCTAAACCCACAACCCAAAAACCGTGTCACTATAGGGTGTCCATGATGAGCTTTGTTTTTTAGAGAAACCCAAGCCCAACAGTCCCAAAGGGTTTAGGGTTTAGGGTTTCTTTTGGCTTCCATTCAGTAGGTATGGTTAGATGACCTAGGTGACTGCATGCTTGGATAGCCCGATGTAGAAACTGTAGACCCTGAACCCAAAACCTAAAACCTAGAGGACCTAGAGACTCCGGGGGTCCATATTTGCGGGGTATATAGCTCAAGACTTGAGCCATGTTGAGGATGCAACTATAACTTTCAGGTATATTCCTTGATTCAGGGATGTTAGGGTCTCTGGGAGGTGTCTCCAGACTTTCTTTATACTGGCTCCCAACACAGGTAGAGCTATGAGTTTTCGGCAAGCGGGCCCCGTTTTGGGGGTTACCTTTAAGGGCGCAGTTTAGTTCTCGAAAGGTTCCTTTTCGGGGTGTTATATTAGGGTTTAGGGGTTAGGGTTTAGGGTATAGGCTCTCAATAGGTTGCAATAGAATTTTTTTTATGGTGCCTTATCACTTGACAAGTGGGGTCTTGGGGTATACGCTAGCAAAGCTAGACAGGAATCATAAGGGACATGAAGACTAATTTTTCAGACCTCCACATAAACCCTGAACCTGAAAGTCCTAAACCCTGAACCCTATAAGAACCTTGAATCTAGGACATTTTCAGGTGGGTAGTTACGGTTATAGGAGCCTTATAGAAGGTCTATATACCTTCTAGAAGCCCTACATACCCTAAACTCCCCACCTGTAGTTTCCTTTATCAGTTAAAGCTGTAAACCCTAGATTGCCTTTCTAATTCATGCCAGGAGGATGTCAAGGCGGCGTCGCTCGGCGAGGGCAGAAGGGTTGTGGCCCGCGTTGTGTTTTTTGTTGTGTTGCTTTGAAGGGTGGGGAAACCTGGTTTAGGGTGTAGTGGTTGAAGGTTTTATCTAGAGTTTTAAAGGGTGGTTCAGGGTTTCGTGTCCTTGAGGTTTGGCGGTTTTGAGTGTTTGTGGTTGTTGCTTGCTTCCGATGAGTCTCATACAGAATTTCAACCGGATTCAAGAGGCTGCTGTTCATTTTTGCTGTTGGATTTTATCGATCCACGTTGTGTTGCTTGTTCCGAAGTCTACCCAAGACCCCTACAACATAAGATAAGGGCTTGAATACTTCGAACAGGATCAGATGGTAAGGAATCCGAAGGACGTAAGGAGTTGCATGACTTCCCTAAACCCTAAACCGTTTACCCAAACCCCTGAACCCTAAACCCTAAACTCAAGGCATAGGCCGCCCACCTACGTGGGTGGGCGGCGCTTAAGCCCTCGACCTCGATGGCGCAGGGCGAGCCAAGACGCCTGCCCGCCTCCCCACAGCCATGGGGACAGCAGCGCCCACGTCAGGCCCGGTACCGGAGCAGGTTCTCCTCGGGACCAGTACTGGTCCCCTAATAAGGTAAATACCCTAAACCCCAAGGTCTTGACCATGGTCGCCCTGGCCGTTTTGGACCCCCGCCAAAAAGGGACCCTCAGGGGGCCCCNNAGCCATGGGGACGGTAGCACCCACGATTGGCCCAAAGAATTAAACACTGGAATGAGTTTAGAGCTAAACCCTAAAAGGACTAGATTTGGGTGGTTTAGCCGCCTCAAACGGCGTGGGGTGGGAAAGAGAAGAAAAAGCCTTCCACATTCAGGCTCCAGCAGCGAATCGTCAAGTTACGACACACTCGAAATTGCACGTCGCTAAACACTTCCGCCTACACGCTATGCTACGGCAAACCCTAAACCCTAAACCCTAAACCCTAAACCTAAACCCCTGAACCCTAAACCAGGCCGAGATAAACAACAACTATGTGTGGCCTCCAGGTACAAGCGCCGCGCACTCGAGACGCACCCTGACAAGGCAGGAATGCTACCCAAAGGGTCCTAAGTATAGCTACATATTGGAAAGTAAGGTTCTATAGTAGGAACTGCTTGTATGGTTTGGGTAAGTATCCCCCCATATATATAGATATATATATATATATATATATGTACTTAGAAACCCTCGGGCTATAGCTAGACTCGAAACGTGAAAAAACTCCCCAGAAATGGCTAGGCGGCCGCAACGGGGGAGGTATAGGACCTAAACTTTTTTTAAGAGAGCCCCTTAACCAATGGTTTTGATTAGGTTTAGGGTTTGAGGTTTACAGGGTTTAGGGTTTAGGGTTCTGTTCCTCCTAAACCCTAAACCCTAAAACCCTAAAACCCTAAACTTTTGTTTTCGCATGAACAGTAGACAGGAAGGCCGCCAGGTCTCAAGTATGCAGGGGTCCTGTGGGAAATTCTCTAAATTAGGGTCCCTTCTAGGGTTCCTCAAAGGGATCCCTAAACCCTAAACCCTAAACCCTAAACGGTTTCGGGTTTAGGGTATAGGGTTTCTATAAGGGTATTATAAGCGTAGTTCTCTGACTTGTGGTCCCTCTTCGGGTCCTGTTTACAAGGGCTGCCGTGCCGTACACTTTCTCTTGGCATTCTTCTGGTTGGCTCTTAGGACTTTAACCCAAAAGTTTATCTATTAAGAGGGGTTCAGAAGTCAGCCAGTTTTTTCAGGGCACCTAAAGAGGGTCCTAATTTGGAGAACTACCCATATATTCGACAAGAGAGCAAACTACAAGACTACTATCCTGCACATCATTGTTGGGTTTTCTGAACCACAAACCCTAAATCCTAAACCCCAAAAGTAGGCCCTAAACCCCAAAACCCCAAAAGTAGGCCCTAAACTTCCTAAATCTAAAACCCTAAATCCTAAAGCCCAAAAAGTAGCAGCTTGAGAACAAGGCACAAGAGCTGCAGATCCAAAGCCAGAGCTTAGGGTTTTGGGCGGGCGGTGCTACTATAGGCGCCTGAGGAGTTGAAATGGGGTTTGGGGTTCAGGGTTTAGGGTTTAGGGTTTAGAGTTTAGGGTTTAGGGTTTTCGGGTTTAGGGTTTGGGGTTTAGGGTTTAGGGTTTAGGGTTTAGGGTGTAGGGTTCCCCAGTAGTGCCCTTTTGCCCTTTTGGTTTGGAGTCTCCTTATTGAAACCAAAAAGTAGGAAAAGGGCACCCTTATGATTAAGGGGTTACTGGAGAACCTAGTGGGGTTTGGGGTATATTAGAGCAACCGTTTTTTCATGTGCAAAGCCTTTTTCAAGCCCTTGGACAGCCTTTGCACGACTCGAAACATCACACACACAAAGCCTTTCGGAAACCATTTCAACCCCTCAAAAGGACTTTCTAAATCTCAAACCCTGGGAACGCTCTTGCCGGACGCAAAACACGAATTAACCCTAAACTTGTATTTAAGTTGAAAACCTTAAGCCCTGAGCCCTGTAAGACTTGACTTCGCCCGAGGGCGGCGACGTCGCAGAGTTCCGAGCAGTGCGCCTCGCCTACGAGCAGCTCACCAAGGACGAGGGATACCGGTTTTTGAAAAACTCTAATGTAGGCGCCGGGCGCCTTAATTATTAGAAAAGGCTTTTGGGGTATATTATGCTACAACTATATGATAAGGAGCCCCCCCCCCAAAAAAATAGTATAGGTAATTATTCAGGCATACTAGGTATCAATCAGGTGTGTAGGGTTTCGGGTTTAAGTTTCTTAAGGACTGAATGTAGCTAGTGTTTTTTGTCTAAAGGCTTCTGTAAAGGCTTCACAGGGTTTTGCATTGTCATGGCGACTCAGGTTCTTGTTTTAGGGCCATTTTGCTGACTCAGGCCCCATATTTGGATTCTTGCGGGCTCGGGGCTTGGATGTTTAATGTAGGATTTCGGGTCAGTGGGGCCTTTACCCTTGAGCCCACAAACCCTTCCTTCAGCCACGCCCTTTGCCCCGGAAGATGGCTCTAAAGAAGGTGTGTTAGAATACTTTCGCTCTCCCGCATCAATAACTTATTAGCATAGAGCCGTGCCAACATTTTTTCTAATAGTTCAGGTGTCTATCATCTACTCGTTTGTACCCTAGAACGAAAGTTCACGCATTTACAAGCCGATACAAATAACCACACGGCGCAAAGGACCTGCACACCACGGAGTATAGGGCTTCCCTACCCGGAGCCGTAATCTTTATTACCATCGCTTTTGTAGGTGTCCCCCATATAGGTACTTTCGAGCTTTGAGGTCAAACCTTGCACCCCTTAACCCTACGCTAAGCCTTAGCCCGAAGCCTAGTTTCACAATCGGTACATGCCCAGACAGCCCAACAACCACTAATGAAGGAACATACCAGCATAATATTACGTACGCCCTAAACCCCAAACCCTAAACCCTAAACCCTTTAGGGTTTAGGGTTTAGGGTTTAGGGAGTCTCTGAGAATCTTCGGTATACTCCTAGTTTAAGCACAACTGGCCTCTCTGGGACCCTAAGGTTCGAGAGCTGGAGCCTCCCAAGCCCTACAAGCTTCAAACCCTGAAGCCCAAACCTTCAGGGTTTAGGGCTTAAGGGTTTAAGGGTTTAGGGTTTAGGGTTTAGGGTTGAGGGTTTAGGGGTTTAGGGTTTGGGGAACCTTCACCCCCTAAACATTAAAAACGCAAACCCTAATGCTCAAAACCCTCAGCCCCAGACCCCAAAGGAGAAGCCTTTCCCAACCCCTGAAACCCTAAATCCTAACCCAAAGCCCAAATCCTCAGCCCCAAACCCCAAAAGAGAAGCCTTTCCCAAACCCTGAAACCCTAAATCCTAACCCAAAGCCCAAATCCTCAGCCCCAAACCCTAAACCCTAAACCCTAAACCCTAAACCCTAAATCCCAAACTCTCAGCCCCCGAAGCCCTAAAGGCCAAACCCTCAGTCTAGGGCTTAGGGTTTAGGGTTTAGGGGTTTAGGGTTTAGGGTTTAGGGTTTAGGGCTTAGGGTTTAGGGTTTAGGGTTTAGGGTTTAGGGTTTAGGGTTGCAAACCCTGGACTCCAAACGCAAATCCCTAATGTTTGGGCATATTTAACTACCCACACTAGTTTTGGGGGGCTCCTTATTATAAATATAGTATAGTGGGCCCCAAAACATTATTCTAATTATTAAGGCCCCTACATTACCCTACAACCCTAAACGCAAAACCCTGGACCCTATCCTAGTTATTAGGGGCCCTATATGAAGTTCAAGCCCAAATCCCTAATCTCTCAACCCTCCTCATGGATGGAGGACTCTGCTTCATCGGGGCCAGCGCCCGCGAGGGAGTCAGGGGGCCCACAGCGGTTCTCCCAGCAGCCATGTTTGTTGTCTTCTGTTTAGGCTGCAGGGTTTAGGGTTTAGGGGTTCAGGGTTTAATTGCATCGCTTTGTGTGTGGTGTTTGCAGCTGCTTTTTAGATTGTTTCCAGCTTAGTTCTCTTGTAGAAGTCGTCGCCGTTGTCGTCGTCGTCGTAGTAGTAGTATATAGTAGTAGTCGCAGCGACACTAGGTAGTAATGGTCCATTTGGCAGCAACAGTATCAACAAGGGCAGCAGCAGTAGCATTGTTGAAATCGAGGCAGCAGAAACCTGGCGGCGTGGCTCCATTCCCGAGGTGGGGCAGATTTCGGCTTTTGGGTTTAAGATTTAGGGTTTAGAGCCTGAGGGTCTTAGGGTTTTAGGGTCTAGGGATTACGAGTTTAGGGTTTCGGGTTTAGGAAAGTTTTTTTGGTTGAGGGTTCAGACATCGTCAACAGTTGTGGTGTTTCGCGCTTCGGCTCGAAGAAGCTGCTTTTTAAAAAATGCGAAACCCCGAAACCCTACACCCTAAACCCCAAAACCCTAAACCCCAAACCCTAAACCCCAAACCCTAAACCCTAAACCCCAAACCCTAAACCCTAAACCCTAAACCCATACCTTCCTACACCCTAGAGGCTGAACCATCCTAAGCCCTAAACCGGTTTAGGGTTTAGGGCCCAAACCCTAGCCTAAACCCTAAACCATCAGCCCTAAAATGGGTGCTTAATTAAGGGGTGAAGGATGCACTAAACTGATAATGTAGGGGCCTGAAGAATTAGAATAGGGTTTTGGGCTCCTTTATACTTAACGCCCTAACCTTGGACTTAAAAAACCCTAAGCCCTAAACCCTAAACCCCGAAACCGTTTTAGGTTGTCCTGTGGGAGACAACCAGGCCTCCCCTAAGAACACCTTTCTGGTGCTCCTTGCAGGCATAGGGTTTAGGGTTTATAGGGGTTTATAGGGGTTTAGGGTTTAGGGGACTTAGTAACTAGTTATCCTTATAGACTTATAAGTACTATAACCCCAATTAGGATCCCGTTTAGTGTGCTTATAACTTATAACTCTACTAAATATCTACTTACTAAGTCCCCTGACCCTCCAAGTATGTCTGTGTAGGGCCGTTGGATTTCAGGGTTTGGGGTTGCGTGTATAGGCAGTCGGTCAGGGTTTAGGGTTTGAGGGTTTGTGTGCTTTAAGGGTTGTATCTAGGACATTTTCAGGTGGGTAGTTACCGTTATAGGAGCCTTATAGGAGGTCTATATACCCTATAGACGCCTTATCGAAGCCCTATATACCCTAAACTCCACACCTGTAGTTTCCTTCAACTTTAGGGTTTCGGGTTTGGGCAGGTTGGGCCTCGGCAAAGGCAAAGGCAAACGATCTTCGGAACATGAGCGGTTTAGGGTTTAGGGTTCAGGGTTTAGGGTCGGAACATGAGCGGGCAGATGGGCCAGCAGCGACCTGAGTGCGGAAGGTGGGTCGCAGCCGGCTTCTGTAGCAGTCGAGGTGCGGCTTCTGCAAAAATCTTAGTGGGTCAACGCCAAAAGCATGGAACTTGTCACGAAAAAGCAGCTCACCCTATCCGCTGCTTTCTTTGTCGATGACCATCAGGGTGCAGAAGATATTGGAGCTCAAGAAGAAGAAGAAGGCGGAGGAGTTGCGGAGTGCTATCGCACTTCATATGCAAACCCCCAAGGCTCAAGCAGCACCGCCCCGATCCAATGCACCCGACCATGGTGGTTTAGGGTTTAGGGTTTAGGGTTTAGGGTTTAGGGTTTAGGGTTTAGGGTACAACAGCGACACCTCTGTAGCGGAGGACTCCGAGAGCGATGGCAGCTCGTCGGAGACAAGCGGGCCATCCCCAGTCGAGGGAGAGTCGGACCTGGAAGCCTTCGACCGGGTGTTTAAGAGGCGGCTGTTCAGCTTAGAACATCCTCAAGTACTACTGTTGATGATATAAATCCTGCATTCCCTTTAGGACTGTAAACTATGGGAATTAAGGTAAACTCCTTATCATGGGTAATGCAGGATTTATATCATCAGCAGTACCACGAAGAGCACTCAGCATTCCGCTGACTTGGGTGGAAAATCTTGGGGGCAGCCGCCGACGGTGCACTTCTTCTCAGGATGAAGGCTATGTCTAAGGCTGACCATGGGCCCCTAGTGTGGGCTCTTAAACCTGGGATCCTTATGCACCTACTAAATACTCTGTATGAACCCTCTATCCTTAGACTATGGGAAAGCCTGTCCTGCCCATAACCCCTAAATCCTACTTGAGGGCTGATGTGATTCAGCAACTCAGGTTATATTGAACTGAAAATCTTAGTTTCCTAATCCCCAATTTTTAAATTCTCTGGGTTCTTCGAGATTAGTAGTAATCTCAAAGCAAAACATTCTATTTCTCTGGCGTATTGGGGAAGTAAGAAATTGGGATAATCCTACTTAGGGCACTATTATGACCCTACTTACTAAGTTAAGTAGACCATAAGCCCTACTTTGAACCTTAAGAAAGCCCGTGTAGAGCCCTTGTATAACCGTTGTAAACATCCAAGGAGATCCCAGAAACCGTTTCGACTAGTGTCGAATCTGTGGACCTTTTTTGCAAAGGCTTGGGTTAAGACAGCGATCCCACTCAAGGGCTCAGGGGACCTAGTAAGTAGGGTTTAGGGTTTAGGGTTTAGGGTTTAGGGTTTAGGGTTTAGGGTGATCATGGGGCTTCTCCTAGTTAAAGCCTTACTTACTGAGTCCCATGCTGACAGAAGCCGAATTTGTCCAAGAGCCTAGAGACCTAGAGGATTTTCAAGGTTAATATCCCAAAGACTACTATTCTCCTCAAAAGTTCTATATAAGTACTTATTTGGGGTGTACATAAAGAAGCTCAGAGGGGCTCCAACATTCAAACTGAACCCTGACCTGAACCCCTAAAGCTTTAAAGCCTGAACCCTGAAGCCCTGAATCCTAGACCCAAAACCCTAAACCCTGAACCCTAAACCCTAAACTTGTGACAAAGGGGCTTTGATGATCTCTTCTCCAGCTTCGCGGCACCGCCTCCTTCACGGCTGCGCGGCGATGCGCGCAAGAGGAGAAGGGTTGAAGATTTAACTCGAATCAGGCTTTTCTGTGTTTTAACCTTCAGGACGGATAGACCCCGAAAAGGGTTTAGGGTTCATATACCATATCGGGACTCATAGTATAAGGTACAGGGCCCCTGCTTTGTCGGGTCATTTAGTCCTTCAGGTCATGCGGCTGTTCTGGGGTTCCACAACGTTTCAGAACGGTTTATAGGTTCGGAAAAGTTAGTTTGAGAGGTTTTTGTAAAGTAGACTGCTGGTGAATATATTAAGAACCCTCTGTTTAGCCGTGGTCCTGCAACTGGCCAAAGCTTACAACTTCGGTCATTCGGTTTCGAAGCAGTAATTTCATTCCTTAAGAGTACTGCCTGTTACAAGTATTGTGGCACAACCCTAAACCCCTAAACCCTAATAATATAGAAGCCTAAATAATTACTAGTACTATTTTGGGTGTTCCTTTCTATAGCTACCGTATAATGGGCCCCAGAACCGTGTTCTAATTCGAACCCCGTGGGTTTAGGACTTACTGTAGTCGTTAGTCCAACGACCTTGAAGGTCGCTTTTAGGCTTTTGAGACTTTGGCGAAGAGGGGCTTTTCGGGATTTAGGATGTGGGCTCGGGCTTTGCTAAACTTAGTTCCCCAACACCCAACCTTTAGACATTTCGAATTTGTTGGGTTCTCGTAAGGGTTCCTTAGAGGGTTCAATTGGAGGGTACTATAGCTTGGGCATTTAAAGTTTTTGGGTTCTTATAATTTAGCCGTAATCTGAAGGTTGAACCTTTTGTTTCCCTGGCTTATTGGGGAAGTAAGTAAAGTGTGGCCAACGATCGGACGATTGCCACTCAGTGCCATACAGGTTCGTCAACTTCGCCTGACAGGCCGAAACGACAACTTTGCGAAAAAGAGAATCAAAGCCTCCAAGAAAAGGGCCCCGGTCTCAGCCCTTCTTAAACTGCGCAACGCCACCGGATTATGAAACCGGACTGCATTTGAAAGGTCATCGAGGCATCTAGCGACGCTGGATGTATGCTGCCGTCCCCTGCGAACTTTTGAGGGTTTTAGCGTAATATTGCAGGGCCCGAAAGCCTGCCTACAACCCGTCAGTAGTAACTTTAGGCACCCAAGCCAAAAAACCCTTACACCGGAAACCCTAAACCCGAAATGGTAGCTAGTGGCAGGAGGCGGCGCACTCTCGAAGAGTCCATAGACGAGGCGTTCGCCGCCATACCCATCCCAGTGCCCCGGATTTCTGGCGAATTCCTGCTTCTGAGCCCTCTTGTACAAGGTTCCTTTGAAGTCCTGTAAAGGCCTAACGGCTTGAGGGTTTTAGGGCTTAGGATTCAGGCTTTACGGACCTCGCAACTTGGCTAGTACCTTAGGACCGTCGCTTTGGGGGTTTCCTTTGGGTTGATATCGGGTCGTAAAAGTCAACTTTCAGAAAGGCTTCTAAGTGCCCGAGCCATGAGGTATAATACCTTGCAGAGCCTGTAGAAAGCCCGAACAGGTCCTCGAAAAACCTTGACAAACCTTGGCCGGAGGGTTGTTATGTTACGTGTAGGTGCCAATCACAGCTTAGTATCCATAGGTAGCCTTCATGCAGGGCATTTCAATCAGGTATGTATATGTCTGTGTGTCTGTCTGTCTTTTTGTCTGTCTGTCTGTCCATCTGTCTG